TACCCTGTTCCAGTAATAGAGCGTTCCCGATATTGTTTATATAGCATGGGATTACCTTTAAATCCTTTCTTAATATAAGAGCGTTCCCGATATAATTTGCATGCGTGTTAATACCTGAAGACCCTGTTCTGTGTGTCAGAGCATTCCCGATATACTTTTGTATACGTGTTATTACCTTCAGACCCTGTTCTGGGTATAAGAGTGTTCCCGATATATATTTGTATACATGTTATTACCTTCAGACCCTGTTCCAGTTTCAGAGCGTTCTCCATATCTATTTGTATGTGTGTTTTTACCTATAGACCCTGTTCTCAGTATCAGATAGTTCCCGATATATATATTTGTATGTGTGTTATTACTTACGGACCCTGTTTCAGTATCAGAGCGTTCCCGATATTCATTTGTATGCGTGTTATTACCTTCAGACTCTGTTCCAGTATCAAATCGTTCCCGATAAATATCTGTATGTGTGTTATTACTTACGGACCCTGCTTCAGTATCAGAGCGTTCCCGAGATATATATATTTGTATGAGTAATATTACCTACATACCTCTTTTCAGTATAGGAGCTTTTACCGTTTATATTTGTATACCAGTATTAGAGTGTGCTCGATATATTTGTATGCGTATTATTACCTTCAGACCCTGTTCCAGTAATAGAGCGTTCCGATATACATGTGTATACGTGTTTATACCTTTATAACCTGTTGTTAGTATCTGAGCGTACCCCATGTATTTTTATGCGTATTATTACCTACAGACCATGTTCTCCGTATCTGAGCATTTCCGATATATATTTTTATGCGTATTTCTTCCTACAGAACAGAGATGTCCCTATATATATATACGTATGCGTGTTATTACCTTCAGAACAGAGCGTTCCCTTATGCGTGTTAGACCCTCTTCTCGGTATAAGAGTTGTCCCAATATATATTTGTATGCGTAGTATTACCTGTAGACCCTGTTCTGAGTATCAGAGTGTTCCCGATATATATTTGTATGCGCATTATTACCTACACACCATGTTCCAGTATTAGAGCGTTTCCGATATATATTTGTATGCGTGAAATTACCTACAGACCCTAGTATCAGAGTGTTTCATATATATATATACGTATGCGTGTTTTTATCTACAGAACAGAGCGTTCCCTTACGCATGTTATTACCCACAGACCCTCTGCTCAGTATCAGAGCGTTCCCCATATATATTTGTATGCGTATTATTATCTTCACACCCTGTTCCAGTATCGGAGTGTTTCCTTATACTGTAACAACACGCAATGTTTCCTTATACTGTACCAGCACGCAATGCTTCCTTATACTGTACCAACACGCAATGTTTCCTTATACTATACCAACACGGAATGTTTCCTTATACTGTACCAACACGCAATGTTTCCTTATACTGTACCAACACGCAATGTTTCCATATTCTGTACCAACACGCAACCTGTTTCAGTATTAGAGCGTTCCCCAATGTGCCCTTTATACTGTACCAACACGCAATGTTTCCTTATACCGTACCAACACGCACTGTTTCCTTATACTGTTCCAACACGCAATGTTTCCTTATACTGTACCGACACGCAATGTTTCCTTATACTGTACCAACACGCAATGTTTCCTTATACAGTACCAACACGCAATGTGTCCTTATACTGTACCAACACGCAATGTTTCCTTATACTGTACCAACACGCAATGTTTCCTTATACTGTACGAACACACAATGTGTCCTTTATTATGTACCAACACGCAATGTTTCCTTATACTGTACCAACACGCAATGTTTCCGTATACTGTACCAACACGCAATGTTTCCTTATACTGTACCAACACGAAATGTTTCCTTATACTGTACCAACACGCACTGTTTCCTTATACTGTACCAACACGCAATGTTTCCTTATACTGTACCAATACGCAATGTTCATTCTGTTTTGCTGTAGTGGATATTTATTCATACTGTAAGACGGAGTCGGCTTCTCTAGAATTAAGAACGTATTGCTGTCAGAAGTATCAAAGTCAATTGAAGAAGATAATTTTCAAAGCAACGAAATGTTAATTAGAAACACAAGCCAAATCCGAGATAGCAAAGACGACGTGCATCTTTATGTAAATAACAACAACCTATACATAAGTAGTTTATTCTGTACATTTTAATTCGGCAGGAATTTCTCTCATAAGATTACACAAAATACAATATATGCATAAGTTTTCCTTGTACATGGATTTCATCATGAGACAACATCATACTCGTTATTTTTGTACACGAGTCAACGTTCTTCACAATATATAGGACAACATTTCACCTTGTAACACCGATACCACACAAAGTAGAATAACCAATGTTTGATGCAATACATGGGTACCTTTGTCAACTGAAATGTACATTAGAAATATGTTTATGCCTAATGAGCGATATACATACAAATATAAAATGAAGAATTCCTGCACAGTGTTAACCACTATGGAAAATATTACGGATGGGTTGATGTTTTCAGCTGAAGGTTTATAACATAACAAACGATTAATAAATGTAAAATAATATGACTACTATTTCAGTGCCATAACTAAGAAACAAAATTACTTGTAACTGGAGAGAGATATGAAAAGAAGGACATAGACATGGAACGCTTTCTTGTGTATACCCCGGTAAAACATACAGACTTGTGTATACCTCGGTAAAACATACAGACTTGTGTATACCTCGGTAAAACATACAGACTTGAATTAACAACATGACTTATATAAAAAAAAAAATATATAGTCAACAGATGCAGTCATTTTGTTACATATAGAAAAGCAAAATAAAGCCAAGTGAAGGTGGGTAATGATTCAAGTAGCTTCAACCCAGTCAACATAAAGTAACAGTTGTCGACATTTGCACCACATATATCATAAACATGTGTGTTTAAACGTTTTAACTCTTTCGATATGATGATAATTCTAAATGCTTTAAGTTCGTTTTTCTGCAGCATTTGTCTGAAGTATCCATACGCCCCTATTTTGGTCGAACCGTTCTAAGATCAGTGGCACAACAAGAATTAATTATATAAAAATGTTACTAGGATTGATCTCTATTGTATTTCCCATTTTGATTTCTACTCTTTTTCACTTTTATATATTAGAAAATATATTAATGCATTACTGCCAGTGTTTTCATTATTCATTAACTTCGAATTCAAACATATAAATAAGTTTCAAACATCTCAAACAGTTTCAGGATAATCAACTTAATAATAGCTTAGCCAAAAGCGAATTAAACTATCGTCTTGTACTCATCATACACATATTTTAGAGAAGTACAGTGTATGGATGCTACTGAAAGCAGTAAGTTTATGTTCAAATGTAAATATGCAAAATAAGCATTCACGAAACAAGTTTGTTATGGAATCAAATTCATCTGTTGTGTAATCAACTTTTTTGAATGAAGGTGTAAAGCTTCACATTGAGAAGATAAGATTACATCACATCAAATCACGTGTTACCTGAAACGGTTTTTGAACCCCTACTACTATGGACAATATTCTCATTCAGAGATTCAAACATGTTTATTAGATATGTAACACAAATAGCATATGCTATATTGTAACGAAGACCGGGAGACGGTAACGTATCAGATGGCCCCGCGAACCTGTATTTGCAAATGATGCATTGAAAAGAAATATCCTTACATACTGAGTTGTAGCAAAAACAACAACAGAGAAAGGCCGATAGCATCACCTTTGCATCACTCATACACGTATTGATAAATTATATAAGGATTGAAACGCATTTTTGAATTCCATGCCGGTACGAATGTAAATCAATAACATACACTTTAGCGAGCTGATATTGACATTCGAATTTATTACTTATCATTATCCTGGAGTCAGATAGTCCTTCATTTTTCCGATACTGAAGTGTTTATGACGTCAGCGTAAACAAGATAACAGGAACAGCCTAATTTTATCAGAATGTTTGCTTCTAGCGGTTGTATCATGTTGTTCGAGGCGAAAAAGGAGAACATTCGAAATGATGCTGAACTAATTGCGTTCATAGACCTATGAATGCAATTTTTATAGTTACGCTCATAAAACTTGCAGTGGAAATGTAAATATAGCCTATTATGATTGGTGGCCGATCGGGAAATGAGACACGTTCTGTACATCTACATTAGATGTTCTCATCCCCATCAATGTTCTTGTAAAGTTTTATAAGTATTCGGTATGTAGTTTCTGAGAAAATGTCCGGAAACAAGTTGTCGACGAAGAAAATTTAGTAGTAATTAGAAAAAGGAATAATGATAGGAAGAAAGAATTCAATAAGTCCCCATTCCTCGTTTACGGGACGTAATGTATATGTATGGGTCATATTATTTCATGAAACAAACTATAACTTTGTACTTGAAAGAGTTTATAAAACACAAACAAATTATTATATATGATAATATGTTGATGCAGGACGAGTTTAAATCTTTTTACAAACGAATCCCGATTGTGATATGATGTGCACACATATTTTGATAATAGGAATACGTAAATGCTAACGCGATTTTTTCTTAGAATGTGATGAAATTATACATTTAATCCCTTTTAAAACAATATATAGGATGAATCGTTCCGGACAGTAAGATGCAATAAACCAATGTATGACTGTACTTAAACGTCCTACCAGTGCTATATAGTGTTAATATATTGAGTACATATAATATGCATGAAATAATTTCAATGTCAAATAAATGATATTTTTGATATGCTTTCTGTACTTAAATTAACTGATTCAAGTGAAGTTCAAGAACAGAAAAATATATTGCCATTAGAATTGCTTTCAAAATGGAACACTTTTACACAGCAAAAACTACACCAATAATATCACAGACGTAAGCGGATGGATGTGTGTTCAAGGTATTTAGATAGTAAATTGGTCATACGCACACATTTATGGTGACAATGCACGTGTCGTATTTCAAATGTGAATACTTTTCACAGATACTGAAATTGTCAAAAACCGATTGAATGTAAAATCGATTTCATATATTACATGATATTAAATATTTAGTCTTGACTTTGCTATTTTCGTCTGAAACATAGCATTTTTAGTTTGAAGTTACAACCATTAGCGTTAAGACTTAATACTTTGAGACTGTAAACCGAACGCCTGTGGCCCATATACTGACCAATCAAGTTCTGATTTTTACAGCATTTTGCAAGTAATAACTTTACATAGCACATGGCATATTTTCCGAAGAGTGAATTATACAAACCGAAATTCAACAGTATTTCACAAGTATGAAAGAATGTTTAAATATTTGCACAGGTGAAAATATTAGAAAAAGTGTGCAATCTTGCAATGATGCTATGCCTTTATCATGATGATAATTGTGCTTATTTTACGGAGCAGAGAAGTATATATAGTTCTTGGTGGTAGGTAGTCCCATGTCCAATATTGGATACCTCTTCCAATGAAACAGGCTCAAAAATATAGTTCGGGCGGAAACAACGGACGATTTGCGTTCCATTTTTCAGTGTGAATATACGTAAAAAACAGCTAGTCGTATGAGCGTAGCAGCGTATGAAGGACTTTGTTTTAAATAATGTTAATATGATCAATGGACCAACCAAGAAATGAGCAATATGGTTTCCAAAAGTTATTATACACATAGGCTCATCTCTTGGAGGTACATCCATGAATTTTTATGAAAATGGCACGGATGATTGTCACGTTATTAATAAAAATACGCATGAAGCCAGTCTGTTGGACACATCCAAAACACTTGAGGCTACATGATGTTTGAACTTGAGTGTATTATTTCTATTTGTTACCCACGAACACAGGTCAGGAACGCGACACTTGTTTGATATACATGTCGTCGCTCCTAAAGTAAGCAAACTGTGAACACGCGTCCAGTTCAGCACATTGACCATCTGTGTCTATATCTAGCTCCATCATGTAACATTTATATACCTAAAGGATATGCGGCCGGGACAGACGTTTTTGTTTTGCAGAATCTGCTTTTAATACATGTCTGTTTTACACCGCATCCAAAGGCCGATACACCAGTTACAATAGAAGCATGTTTCGTTGTTTTCCTTTACGTTTGTGTACAACTGATGCGTGTTGTACATACATAAATATAATAGGTACATATTACAGATTTGATTGTATCCATCAGTAGCAGTCTCTATAAAACAAAGACAAGTTTGGGGTCTTCGTTAAAGTTTATCGACTTAGGTTAAAAAACCCAAACAAAGAGTCTTCAACACTTTTCTATAGTCTGTAGTCTCAATGGAAAGTGCTGATACACAAAAACATTTGTTTTCAGAAACATCGTAGCTGTTCATCTCCTGTCTTGCCTGTCTTGCACTTTTATTCACCGATTATAACGAAAAAATATTTGTGCTCTCGGAATTTCCTTTTTTTCAAAACATTTTCATCACTAGATGTAATTTGTTGCCGTCGATTTTCCCCGGGTTGACGATTATTGTGATTTTGAATTACACATCAAGCTGTTACATAATAAAACCTAACACGGTCTCCATTAACAAACATCTGTAAATTATCCAACATGCTCACATGTTAGTATTAGATCTGTCACCAAGTCAAGTTTACAGTCAGCGTGGTGGCAGCGAAAACGATTATTGGAATTAAGTAAGGAAACAAAATGGTCGTCAAGTTCAGTTAAAGATTAGTTCGTGAACTCATCTTCCTTGAATGTGATATAACTTGGGTCAAGTGGAACAAAATGTCATCAACAGTGCCAGACCTTAGTTCTTACTCGATGCCCGATATACCTACATGTACTAGATATGTATGCACACTTATCCACCTACGTCACTTTTAGTCTGTGGAGGACTTGAAGCATTGCCAACGATAACTGAGCATGTCTGACAGTCAGACATGTACGGTTATAAAACACGTCAGCAGGTTATACAATGGTGGCACTGTTGTAAAACACGGCAGCAGAGCATGCTTTCTGTAAATTCCAATTAATTTGGTCGGGTCACAGACAATGGCCTTTCCCGCCATAATGATAACGTGTCCGATGCATTGGCCAGTTTGATGTAACTACGAATTGCTATTCAATGCAGCATACATTTTCCGTGATTATTTTCAGGCATTGAGCAAAGCTCCTCATCGGTTGCTGGAACCGGGTTATACCTGATGTCATTTCCTCTGCTGTCCTTTGAAAAAACGTCTCCATTCACGTTATCGTCCATTTGATAATTCTCTTTCCGGTTTCGTTTATCAGACGATTTTCTGTCTAGAGTGTCGGTGTTAAACGATAAAGTCTGATTAAGAGTTGTGTTTAGACGTTTGGACCCTCCAAGTGACCTGTCTCTTATCCGACGTCTCCACGTCTTCCTCAGGTGGGTGATCACCTACAATTGATTCCAATGTACTCAATATGCCGCCAGTAATGTACATTAACACGCACTTAATGTATATGGTAAAACGGGAAACGTTTAACATAAAGATTACTTTACTTGGAGTTTAATCTCCTGTTAAAAAAACTCTTTAGTACGTAACAGGTCAATTCTTTTCTAGGAAAGATAATTCGGCTTGTAATCAATGATCATCATGACATAAAATCAACTGGATGGTGTTCAATTTGCTTATTTGTTTGCTTGTTTGAATTTAACGCCCCATCGACAACTGTGGTCATTAAAGGCAATGTTGATTTAGTATTGAAATCAGATAAAAATGATTATTTTTAAAGTCATTAGCATGGCATGTGAAAATAATTAAGATATGAAGGGAGTCAAAATAATAAAAGTTTAAGAGATAATGAATAGGTTATATTGGATGTGTGGTGTATAGATAACACAAAGAGGGTAAGGTAGGTTAAAAGACACCAGAGTCTATAAAATAAACTGATGTCGTTCCAAAATTAAACAATGCCTTCTACTCCAATGAACTAGATGGTGTCAAAGCACGAATTCCATTTGTATGATCCAAAAACAAAATTGCATGCAGGTATGGATTTTATATTTTTGACCATGAATTGAATATAGATATACTTTATGCATCCATGTAAACATTGTCGTTTTATGCACAAAAGCGCAGAAAATATACGACAAACCTACAAACATGCATGTACGTATATGCCGCATGCTTTTAATAATGTACAGTATGGAAACCAGAAGATAGTTAACGACAACAAAAACTCAAATATAATGATTCCGCCATCAGCTGCGCGTCGAATTTAAATAAAGACACGTTGAAGTCTTTTGTTTCATATGGCACGATACACTAGACATGAAATACAAAAGGGATATTACATAATAGAAAAGTTATATTTTAAACAAAATTAGGAAAACGCTATATTTGAAAATCGGCAAATCAAAATTTAGAAATGATATTTAAAACAACGATAGCCTGTAGTTGTATATCACGTCCTAAAACAGAAGCAAAATACGAATACCCTTTAATAAAGAAGTATCGCATGATATACCTCTCATTCTTCTGATTTCCATACGTAAACTGAGCAAGCTAGCGACACTTACGGCTGTCTGTTTTAATGAGCACGGAAACAGCACGATGTCGCTTACCTCGCTATTCAGGAAGCAAAATATGAGGGCGACGAAGAATCCCTGTAATGGAAAATAGATAATGTAACATATTCATGATTTGTTGATGGTGGTTACGTTACGCCTATGGATAACGAGGACCGGTACGGTTAGGTACACATACATTGTACATGTACATCCGTGTGCCAGTTAACTATACCGTCAGTGTCACAAGTGGTCACATTTACGATGTATAGAACCACTGTCTTATAGAACAGAAGTTAGTGACATAACAAAACAGCATATGTTTCACTGCTTCCGATGCATTAATAAATAAAGGATTTTAATGGTGTCCCGATGTAGGCCATATGCATTTAACAGTATGGCAGATTATCAATATGTTTAGCTAGTGCGAAGCTATTATCTAAAATATATCAATTGTGTAGTAATTGCCATAATGAATGTTGCAAAGGTGTACTAAAACAACTATGTAAACAGCCGTCGCTTCACCTGATCTTGAAACTGAAAATCTACGCAGTGAATACAAAGTACCGCTCTGATTGGACAACACTAAAAGTTATATGTTCATATGTTAAGATATAAATTTACTGCTCAGAAGATGAAGTTTGTATCAAAAAGACATTCCTGATGTTACACTGTCTAAAATGTCAAAATTGTTTTTGAAAATTATATTGAATACAACATACATCATGAAGAATGAAAAAGACAACTTTACCTGTAAATTGTTACAAAATAATGAGAACCGCTCGTACTCTAGTCCGGCCTGTTTGTTAACTGGGATTCTGTATATTGTAACAAATAGCTGTACTCCAAACAGCGGGATCAGCACGAACGTGGCCTTTACGGCTTTCCTGTTAAACACAAGAAACCAGTGTGGGTTTAAAGATCTCTGACAATTATAGGGAAAATTCCTACTTTTACATACTACAACTGATTACAAAGTCGCCTGAACAAATTTGACCCATATTACTGCCAAAAGTACGGCACAATACTAGCATCGGGTTATAAGAATGACACTTTACAATCCTGTAGAAGATCCAATTCTTACAAAGGCTACAAAAAAGATTATTTAGATGTTCAACTCAAAAAGAATACCGGAAAAATAAGCAAACAATACTTTATTAGTACAATTACAAGTATGATGATAAAACCTTTCTGGGAAATAGTGCGAAATGCAATACTTAAGAATGGACAAGAAAGAGTCATGTTGAGAGAAGAACGTAGCACACTCCCAAGTAATTGCACATTTAGTATCATAAATCTTTTGATATCATGAATAACCATTCGCAGAATTCATCTTCTCATTTTTCATTTTTCGCATACGTAGTTACATCAATGAAATTGAGAAAGTGTCTTTGCACTCCTTAAATAAAATATAACTCTTCTATTTTCGAATATGTCCTACGTTTTGACATTTTACAGAATTGGGTGGAAGTGGGAACATAATTTAGATATACAATCCCCAGGAAACAGCTTCCAACTAGGATTGAGATAGAACTGTTTATCTCATAAACAATAACTTCCATTTATACTTAGCCAAGGTCAACACCGAAAAGTAACGGATATTTAATTGATAAACCTCCATACATTTACAGAAACAATAATGTCCGAAAAGGAACAACCAGTTGAAACGTGACTTTGTTTGCAGACACACCTAACGATTGACCTAAAATCAAATCCGGACAGGCATTGTCTGGACTGATCGGGCTGGAATTTGGAATGGAGAAACTAACTTAAGGCAATCATCCGGCATGTTAAATTAAATAACATTGAGGGGCGTTTATCGACTAATCAAATCAATGAGGAACACAAAGCCTCATAAAATATGCGTGGATTCCATTCATTTTTCAAACTTTAGTCCCGCTTGCCAGCGGACCTCACATTTTGATGTTTTTGTCTGGAATGTGTCGCCAAGTAAAAATAAAAATAAATACCTGTAGCATATTTCAATATGTACGCCACGAATGTTGCCATGATAAAAGAAATATACCCCGTGTATGTTTGACCGAATGCAATTGATATTTTAGGAAGTTCTTTTCTCTTACCCGTCAGCCAATCAAAATAACATGTACCTGTAATAATACACGCACGGATTCTTTTAATCAACGAACGTAGCCTCAGGTTTGGCCGACATTCATTATTATTTAGAGATCAGAAAATCACAATCAAGTATCAACAATATAAGTACGTAGACTGCGCATTTTATTTAAGCAAATACATATTTCTTATTGATTGGATTCTATAAAATTATTTTTATTGTCCGGTTACCTAAAGTACATGTTTATTTATTGAATAAGTACAGAATCTGCTAACGTAGTCCCAAGTTTGGCTGTTTTGAGTATACCGTTGAGAGAGTAAATACGGCCAATCAGAATCTAGAAAGTTAAGCATGACAAGATAAATATGAAAAAATATATAAATTTTACAAATAGTAGACCAAATTTTTTTTACACTCTATATTCAGTGTAATCATACACTTTGTATCTTAATATTTGTAATACTTTCCTATGTTTTTGCTTCATTTCTTTTGTGTTCAAGTGTTAACTATAGACGCATCACACCTCATATGAGTCTTAATTACTTATCCAAACGCGTTGGAATGTTCGCGTTGTAATTCTTTTAACTGTTCGCGATTTTAAAACTGTCAAGTTGACAATGGTTGTGAAATCTATATATTCTATATTCTTATAATCTGTATGATTTATTTATACGTGCTCGCGTCAGGAATCCCAGGCTTATTTTGAAAGTAATCCTGTTTCCAAGGCATTCTTATTTTCAAAATCGTTTTGACAATACAACATTGATGGATTATTTCCTTTCATTTATTCGTATGGAAAAAGACAAAATATTTAATGTTCTGCAATTTGTTTTGTAACGAAATCAACTTTAGATATTTATTGATCGAATTGTTGCAATTCAATCATGAACGATGAATACGTGTAAATCCCAATAAAGTCCACCAGGAAAATGTAGGTCCACTCTGGAATTTATAAATATATTTAAGGCCGGCGTATTTTCAAAGACGGCTTATTGTCGCCATATGTTAACCCGCAAGGAAATCTAAACTTTCTGTCAATGCGGGCTTATTTTCAAATCAGACTTATTATCATGATTTTAGGGAATTATGACAATAGAACACATAACCACCTACCGGAAGTTGCTTGGTTCGTTAGGGTGAGACTGCAGTTGTGTGAGAAGGATCCGCAATATGTTACATAAAAATATAAAATTTACCTGCAAGTAAAGGAAAATACTATATACATGAATGAGCTTCATTCCACGAAAATAAACAGTCGTGTGTTACATGTTCGTCCAATGAGATTTTTGGCCTTTTAAGTTGAATACGACCATTGTTGTATATTATCCTGTTTTTTAAGTCTGTATCACAAAATGTTTCCTTTTCACAAACGTGTGGGCGTTATCGATCCCTACCATCACCAAATTACCAGATCCCAACAATTAAACATTGCGTTAAAGCACTGCCATGATATACTGACCACTGGGATATATACAGTAGATATATTATGTGTTTTGCCTCGTGTTATTGTGATCTAATCCTGCACTGACCTATAGCTTAATCACATAAGGATAGACAAGACATAAAGAGTAACCATAGACAAGAGTCGTGCGTCTCGTCATTATCATTAATTCGCTCACTGGACTTGGTCAGACAATGTTTCTAGACAAGCAGAGAATGAACATCATACTTAACAAAATATCATACGTCTCTTTTAGAATTACTGGTCAGTTTCTTTTGCCATGATCGTATGCAAATTGACGTATATTAACGTCGGGTGCAAACAATCACATTTATGGCATACACATACCAGTATTACTGTATCATGTTTCGTTTTAATTTTGACCTACAAGGATATAGAACATGAACAACTCCATTTCTACATAGCTATTCAAGAATAAACTAACCTGTGAAGGACTGTTACACGTGGTATAGATAATTCAAATATTGGTTTAATATTATATACATTTATATGTGCCACAAGATGACGGCTACACATCTCGGTCAAAAGAATGGGTTACATTAGTAGTTGGCGATGTAGGAAAATAAATGCACCAAGTGTAGATTATATACGATAGAAATATCCAACCCTTGGGTACCTAATTTAGGTTTAGCCCAAATATTATTTACCCTCGGGCGGAATATCTCTATCCTGCACATAACCATCTGATAGAGTAATAGAAGCTTACACTTGTATTTGTTAAGGTTTCACTACTACCAATGACTTTCGGCTGAAATCCTAGACAGCTTGTTGAAATGATCGATAGGTTTGGTATTTGCTTACCCATACTTACAGCCATGGCAGAAAACATGCACTGTTTCTCTGAATGTTTTATATATCATGACCTTCAGACTTCTAGAAGAAAAGGACAGGCACTATTTGTGACGTTTTTCCTAGGGGGCATCGTCGGAATGGACTACATGATTGAAAAGGATGTCGTCGGTAGAAATGGTAAAGCCGCTGACATTTAACGTCCATTCCGATTAGGATTTACATTATAGCTACGATTTAAGGAGACAACAGTATGGCGCGATTATCACCAGCAGGCTTCATTTTTTACGAATAATTTAACTGTTTATCGTGAACAAACTAAAATATTGGCATGTCAAACATCGAAATGCCAACACTACTAAATAGTCGATATACATATTTTGCAAAAAATGCTGACGGCAATGGCATGTATGGTGGAAATAAACCTGGAATGGTACAATCGGGCCCAATTAACCATCTTTGTGTTCTTGAAATCCATAATGGTACATAGGGGAGCACTGACCACAGAAAATGTTCCGTTTCAGATTTAATACACATGGCCATCTCTAGTTTATCGGTTAGATTTATGTACGCTCACCGTAGCGTGCTTGGCACATCTAGTTAACCGCACGATTTATGTACCACTCAGGGCCTCAAATCATACCCGACTTGTATCTTATCGTTTACATTTGTCTGGTAAAATGAGTGAGTCTATGAACCCCATAGACGTTAAGGGTGTATGATGTACTTCATCAGAAATGATTTAGACATATATGAGTTTGAATACATCTATTCCATAACTTTTTTTTCCTAAGAATAAGTCATCATAACTGAAAATTTGTCTTTAGAGGATACGTAAGATAACATTTAAAAAGCATTCCATTACTAACGATCATGTTTTAGAGATGTCTTTTTAATGTCATTGTTACCTTTTTGATTAAAAACTCTTTTTCAAACTAGATTGAAAAGCAACGGCATTTTTTCTTTTGTTAGCCCAATAGAGACTGAGAATGCGAATTCAATATACTTCGTAAAATATTTCTTACCCAAATTCTTTGTTATGTGAGTGTAGAGACAAAAGACTAGAGAACACCCGAAATTGTTTTTGCATTTTGGTAAAGATATTATCGTTTAAATAAATTTAATATTTAATATTTTATATTGTTATGTGCTATACCACTAGAAAGCTTATGTATTGATTGCCCTTTTTGAATGACACATCATTTAAACATAAATATCGTATATTGACACTAACTTGATGTTATTTAATCTTTAATCGAGTTCGATACGTTGTTATGTGGACCTGATAGAGTGAATTTGACCGAAGGCTACAGTTAGAACATGGATAAGCCAATAATAATCAAGGAGAGCCAGACCAAATGTAATATTATGAGATATGAATCTGCTTTCTTTCACAATCATATTTCACTTGTAATTTGGTATTACTCATTTACCAAAACTATCACTTTTAACTGCAGACATAGACGTGCTTAAAATTGTTGTTTGAACTTTGTGTTTTCGAAACGGAGAGAGATAATACGATGGTTTTTGTTAATAAATGACTCAAATGGTTAAATTAAATACCGTTATCAACCAAATGTGTTGTTCGTTAAAGTGAAATGTTATTATTTCCATCCTCAGAATAAAGGGAGACAGAATGTATAAGTTTGTTTCTCTTTCGTTTCTTCTTCGTCTTTTTATAAGTTGGCAATCTTTTGAAATGCATTTATCTGGCAATGAAGGTATACAATGCACTGCTATTAGATAACTGTGACTTCGAACTCAGGTCAATTTGCAAATTAGCAAATTAGTGTAAGATATCCAGCGAAGCCGTTTCCTAGCATTACGGTTTTAACCCTTTCACCACTGTAGACCATGATGGACTCAACCAGATCAATACGTGGTGGAGTTTACTAAATTTACATAGGGGTGAAAGGGTTAATCATTAACCTGAAGTATACAACCATTTGCCGAAGAAGGCGGTTAATACGTTTTGAAAAGGTCACGATAAACATCCTCTCCAAGTCAAAGGTCAAAATCTAAATTAAAAAGCTGCAAGGGCTGTAAAGTTTTAACCTTTTAGGACATTTTTATATGATTTAAATGATACCTCCATCACACATAAATGATGTGCAATACACTTTATTTCGGTTGTCGGTACATCCACGTCCACGTCAATGCCAAATAAGGAGAATACAAACATGAATATGGGCTTAAAAGGGGAGACATATGCTCTATTTTCCGAAACAAATATCTTTTCTTGTATAAAATAGTCTAAATTATTTTTACTAAGATGGCTGAAATATCTCCCTTGATAGAAATACTGTGTTCATGTATGTTACATCTTTTCGATAAAATGGATAATGGTTTACTTACCAACCCTTTAGGAGCAATTTATATTGATACAACTTTAATGATCCTCATAACACGCAATAGCTAAGCACAACAGCAACTATCAGTATTTAGGCAAGATGGAGACCGTGTTAACATTGAAATATACAATATGGACATTGACTTTCACCTGAATGCTCATGTAAAAGTAAGGCTAGAGTCAAAAGATATACCCTAACGTCTTACAATTATTTTTTGAAAGTCCTTATAACGGTTTGTAAATTATCCATTCCATTTGTAATTCCAATCCAAGAACATCAGCAGTCATATAATTCAATTACGTGTACTTTTCACACTATTATCAAACTATATGTTGTAATTATAAATAGTTCATTGATATCATCAGATTTGTCATGTAATTTTAGCAAACATTTGCGTCGTGTTAGTTCGTGGCTGTAAATTGCATTTACATTTGAATGGAATAATAAGCTTATTGATGAACATTCCATCCATACTTTTTTCCTCGGGAAAAAACGTAGGCAAAAAAAATACTTACAATGAGACAGGTTAAATTAGGGGCATAAAATATCCATTCTTTATCTTCATAGCTAGTAGACCAGCAACTGAAATATACCAGAAATATGTGCATGGATAAAACAAAAAATACGATTAATATAATCACAAATCATGAATTAGTGTAGTTTTATAAGAGACACTGTTGAATGTGCTTATCTAGGACATTTTGTGTCCAGAATCAAAAACGTTAAGAACATTATTAAGCTGTAACTGCAGTGTTTTGCTGATGTCATTCAGAAAAAAACTCTTGCTAATATATCGGGAACATTTAGGTGATATGATTTAATTTTAGGTTACTATCGGTTCCTGTTTTACTAAAGTTAGAGATAAGCAATCAATGTTGTCAGCACACTGTTGAGGCTCGACTTCCGGAGCCCACATACATACTTACTACTGGAGGTAGCGTCGGCATATTTATCATCTGTCAGGATCAAATTGTACATTACAACTAGTATCTCTAGGAATATCTGTCCCACTAAATTGTGTTTTTCCTGTACAGTTACCTCCCCTAGATCCAAAGTCCAGGGCTCGAATCCCGGTTTAGCCCCGCTGAAGGATTTTAACATTCAGAATACTGTTGCTGTTTATATTTGATTTATTTCATCTTTATCATGTCACATTAAAATCCCGCAGGGTATGATGTTTTTATCATAATTATGTACCAAAGCTATAATAACGCCAAAACAAACACTGTCCAACACTTAGCTACATTTTCTGTGTTGTTGAGAGGGAATCTTAAAGGAAGAGATCTCAGGTTTTGAGTGAATGACTATCACGCGAAATATAACCGACATAAATAGCAGACAGGAACTTAAATAAAATACACAATGTAAACAAAATTATTAGTTTATTGAAAGTATAAAAATACTTTACTTTGACGATAGATGGAATTGAATGAAATTTCGATGATTAAGTTACGTTTATTATAAACGTATGAGTCAGAATTTAATCATGGCAGTCCTTACATCGTTGCACAGTGAAACTGTCTACAGTAATATAATTATAACCGTTAACTAAACTGATAAGGACATTTAATCGACAGACATTTTAATCAAAAGATAAATAAGATCTATATCTAATAGAAAGTACAATTATCGTTCTATTTATATTTTCAATTTATGTTTTGAGCCAAATAACTTCATTTCATGCGTGTTGTCTGTCCATAATTTAGAAAGTATACCAATATCGTAATCCAACATTGTAAAATTAATATATATTGATTTTAAAATGTCTCTTAACGAAATCAAAAATAAATGCATGATGTAAATACTACTTGATTGTTTCTGAAAAACTTAAACGAACCTAAATCGTCAAATGCAAGATTTACACGACATATCAGATGAATGCATCCTTCATCGTTGAGTTTCTGGTACAGAAGACCACATTTGATACATGTAGCTGTTCATAAATATGAAAGCAAATCGCGGACGAACTTAACCAACTGAGGCTGTAAGCGTATTGAAACAACTATTTTCTTTAAGAACAAACCAGCAGACAGGAACAGCAAGAACAAGCCGAGATGGCATGGTACACTGTATTTCAAAATTATTCAGTGTATATTCCATTATTTGCTACACAAATTATTATATACGTGTTAAATGAAAAACAATAGACAGTCTCACCTTTCGTTGGCATATATACCGCGAATTATAGCGTAGATAGTGGATGAGAGGAGGGGAATACCTGCATAAAAATAATAGCATAATAATCATAGCATAATACATATTAAATGACACCAATTTAATTGTTTAGTTTTCAGTACACAATCAGTAACAAAATAGCTGTTCAAACAGTCTTTTGATGTGAATGGGTGTGTTACTAGTAAATATTGGATTTTTTTTAAAGAATGCACAATATCAACAAATCAATAGCGAAGTTAAAAGTATCAAAAATCATAGTTATTGTGAAGTGTGGTGGATAACATGGAGAAGTGGTTAGTATATGATGGGTGCAGAATGTCGGCAAATATAAAACAAATATATTGTCTGTTTTTCATGTGAACGATGATCAACAATAAGTTAAATTTAATTTGTAAAACCACACAAGCCGTGTCTATCTGACATCACTCTAGTATAGCTTTGGCTGAGTGTTTTATCTTACTGTTGAAATTGATAAAAGAAGGAATGGAGAAAATCCTGTTCATATCGATTAGAATGTATCACCGTAATAATAACAGGATTCCTCATTCCAGTTGACGCTCGCAGCAAACACATTGCTCGGCTGTCTTATCAAACTATCCCCGGTAGTAAAGTGTCCACATCCGGATGTATTTAGGGTACATCTTGATTCGTTTGAGTGGTGTCTGTAATATTTCTAAGAAATAATTCCGACGGCACTGTATATGGAACGAACATATATAGAAAAGGTGTCCTTAATAGTAATGATAAGATACAGTGTTATTGAAATCAACGACAGGAATCAGAATGTACGGCATGGAAATACTGCAAACACACATCATTTAAAGCTATTCTTTCTTCAGTGCTTTTCGCATTTCAGGTATTGCTCTAAATCATTAAAGTGCAATTCAAGCCTCTGTTTATAATGTCCTATTGCATATAGGTTGGATCCACTGATTAATCAATGCTTAATTCTCTTCGACTTAAATAATGCACTTAAATTTGAGTGCGCTAAAAGGAAGCACGTTTAAAATAATAATTTCAAGAATTTATCTTGCATTGTACCAGGAATATAATTTGTGCAGAGAAGACACACAAATTGTTATTTTCACGGAAAAGAAACGTCCTGTACATACACGAAAAAGAAGGAAAATTATGCATTGTCTAAACAGACGGGAAGACAACATGATTTGTTACGTAATGAGATCAACTGTAAATGAATTAAACAAAGAATGTTTTTACTTTTTTGGCTTCTTTCTTTCAAAATTAAAAAAAAAATCTTTCTCTTTCGCTCTCTAATTTTGAATACTTCCACGATATTATATACAACATAAACCAAAAACGGCGACAGCACTCGGTTTTGAGTATGGCTTCGTTTTGTTGTGTTGTGTTTGGTGTCCTTTTCTATGTACTATGTTCTATGTGTAGCATCCAAGGTGTATGCATGTATGTTGAAGGCGGTAGTGATGTCTGTCAGTTGAATAATACTATTAATGCGATTATCAGTGTCTTAATTAAACAGTCAATGTGTATGTGTATCGTCCTTTAATTCATACATGAAATGTCAACAATATTTTTGTTCCCGTAGCAACGTCGACATGTGCATTTTTTAACTTCCATATACATGTATACTGTTTCTCTTAGCAATTATTGAAATTAAGGATAGATGTAAACATGCATGGCCATGTTTCTATAGACAATGGATATCTAATAGTGGTTCTAAATTGCTTAGCGACGGTCCATTACTTTTATATAAACAAATATATTGCGACTGGTAAGAGATTTCCCCACCGCTTGTTTTGTTTCTTGTATTATAGGGGAAATGCATTTCGTCTAAAACCATGATAAGAACTCGACGAAAAGTCATGTCACTTTCCTGTCATTAAACTAATCCATATACCAGTTGAACTATGCGAGCTAAACTTAATATATATACTAACAACGCATTACGTAATCTGAATATTGAAATAAAAAACAAATACGAATAATGCTTTTTATCAGTGACAACAGTACGATGATAGAAGTCATACTGGCAACCGATGTTTTATCAGTGACAACAGTACGGTGATAGAAGTCATACTAGCAACCGATGTTTTATCAGTGACAACAGTACGGTGATATAAGTCATACTAGCAACCGATGTTTTATCAGTGACAACAGTACGGTGATATAAGTCATACTAGCAACCGATGTTTTATCAGTGACAACAGTACGGTGATATAAGTCATACTAGCAACCGATGTTTTATCAGTGACAACAGTACGGTGATATAAGTCATACTAGCAACCGATGTTTTATCAGTGACAACAGTACGGTGATATAAGTCATACTAGCAACCGATGTTTTATCAGTGACAACAGTACGGTGATATAAGTCATACTAGCAACCGATGTTTTATCAGTGACAACAGTACGGTGATATAAGTCATACTAGCAACCGATGTTTTATCAGTGACAACAGTACGGTGATATAAGTCATACTAGCAACCGATGTTATCAGCAATTGATAGTTGATTGACGATATTCGTGCACTATAAAAAACAATTGCTGCAACGTTTTTAATAAAACAACAGAACAAGACCTAATAAATGTGTAATCAGAGATCTTTAGTATTACATAAATAAGTGTGATATGCTTGGCACGGAAGATGGGAGTCGCCTACAGCGATTGATGCACAACATGCAACGCCACGGAGCGGACGCTGGTCGATTTATGGGATGCTAAATACTGGTACATTCAATTAATTAGTCTAGACCTGTGGAGCCTTACACACTAACAACTTGGAGCATTACGTGTACAAATAGTAGGTTTTATTATCGTAATGGAACCATACGACACGCATCGACCCACAGACGGTTGACATATCAAACACTTATAAATGAAACTGAATAAGCGGCCTAAACTATGCTACTTTCGATTTTTTTAAACATGAATGCGTATTTATGCATTAAAGCTTCACTCCTAAAAGGCTATTGTTCCGTTTCATGGCTTAAAGAGATTTTGTTTTTGAAGAGTTTGTTGCCCTGTAATTATTTTCTGACATTTAATCTGCGCAGCTTCATTATCTCTTTAGTTTTTACATGTCCTGCACGATAAAAGAGTTCTTCGATCAGACTCCATTACAGCCTCGTGCGGAATTCTACAATTTCTACAAAGATTATGATTAAGCTCTTGAAATTAACAGAAAATCAAGGATTATTTGTTTTCATTAACTACAGTTACACAATTACTCTTTGGAAAATACGGGATCAGCAAAATAAACAAGAACAGATCAGAGCAGAACTAGAAATGTTTTGTTTTCTAACATGTTTATGTATTGTCGTAATACAGGAATGACTACAAGATTGACATATTAAATTTAATGAAGAATAAAATCAGCAGGAATTCAAGGAAAGCTAAGAGTTCATATTAAATTTAATGAAGAATAAAATCAGCAGGAATTCAAGGAAAGCTAAGAGTTCTTGAGCACAGATGGAAATTTCAAATTCACCTCCGAAAATTGGAATGCGTATTTATTTACTTGAAAGTGAAACACCAATAAAGCCAGCCCTAGAGATAGCCAACACATTTTAAATAGACGGGTTGTATTGATAAGTTGTTAGTATTGTATAGTTTCTCGCAGGTGTCCATTTGACAGATATGCAGTGTTCATAAAGTGGTTGGCTATGAGGCAGGTTTCACTAAATCTCACTTGGAACATATCATTTTCGGATGACATATTGTTGTTTTGTTGGTAATTGTGAGCGATTTTTACACATTTACTATTCTACAATTGCTCGCAATCGCTGATGCGCAACTGTTTATTTCCTGTGCACGTATCGTACTCACGTGTGCGCGCGCCTTCTCCATTACTGTAATCTCGTTACGTAGCTATTGTGCTGAGCTCCAGCATATATGTTTCCACACGTAACGAAATTACGTGTGGTCGGATTCGCCTATAATCGTTAGCCTTGAAAATAACTTTGCTACATCTAAACATGCAGTGTTTTTTTGTGCGTGTTGTCGTAATTTGCTCTATAAACAGAAGTGATTCTAATCTGCTCACGAAACATATTATCAGGCACGGTCGATTATCCTCGTCAATGACATATTCAAAAATCCTATTTTCACATTAGCAGTACAGCTATATTTCAAGCGTATCATTGTTCCGCGAAGTCCTTGATTGCGTCGGATATGCAAGGCCATTATTCTGTCGATAATAAGAAACGGTGGCAGATAGAGTGTGACCAAATTTCTATCTAATCAGCAGTCCCAGTTATAGTTCTGGAGGTACGGACGTGTGCAATCACTGGGCTACTCTACAAGACTAGCTTGTGAAAACGTTATGATTTCAGATGCTACCTTGTCGTCGGTTTTGTAGAGATGCTATGAATACTTTCATGCTGTTGATTGTTAAGCAGGAATAATATGGCAAATGTCTTTCATCCTTTTGCTATATATAAATTACATCTGTCAGTTAATATTTTTTTTAATTTCCTCATAGGATTTATTTTGCATTTACGGATATTCAAATCATATTTAAAACGAAACTGCGATTTCACACAAAGAGCGTCACTGATATTGATGAAACAAACCTATTGTATATATAAGACATCGTAACAGTATGCTTTGTAGTTGTAAGATTAACAGAAATGTCGTGTAGCCTTAGCGTGCGTACGCGAGTGTTGTTCATAGATAATAAAACATGCCTTTTTCCATATCACACTCATTATCAACCCGAGACTCCAATTTCAGCCCGAGGGCTGTTATTGGTCGAGGGTTGATACTGGATGTGATATGGAAAAAGGCATGTTTTATTTTGTTTATTCCATACCTACTAATAAAATGCGGATAGATCTTTCATCTTATGATCTATTTTCTTTTGAAATTTTAAAAAACGAAAAAATTCCAAAAGGGGTGTGATACGGGTTTTGCGGGCTGATACGGGTTTTGGGGTGTGATACGGCGGGGGCTGATCCGGGTTTTGGGGTGTGTTACGGCGAGGGCTGATACGGGTTTTGAGGTATGATACGGCGAGGGCTGATACGGGTTTTGGGGGGTGATACGGCGACGGCTGATACGGGTTTTGGGGTGTGTTACGGCGAGGGGTGATACGGGTTTTGGGGTGTGATACGGCGACGGCTGATACGGGGTTTGGGGTGTGTTACGGCGAGGGCTGATACGGGTTTTGAGGTATGATACGGCGAGGGCTGATACGGGTTTTGGAGTGTGATACGGCGGGGGCTGATATGGGTTTTGGGGTGTGTTACGGCGAGGGCTGATACGGGTTTTGGGGTGTGTTACGGCGAGGGCTGATACGGGTTTTGAGGTATGATACGGCGAGGGCTTATACGGGTTTTGGAGTGTGATACGGTGGGGGCTGATATGGGTTTTGGGGTGTGATACGGCGAGGGCTGATATGGGTTAGAGCAATTTTGACGTATCGCATATACAAAAAACCACCGTATTTATTTGTAAGTATGCAATACAACGTAATATGATCAAACCTCACATGGTGTGCGTTAGGATGTGACCATGTCTGTGTTGTTGTGTCTGTGTGACAATGTGCTAACGACTTATTTCTAACATACAAACAAACACGTGTCAATAAATAAGACTACCAACGCCAGCGGCTTGGTTAGAAAGGTGTTATAAATGGACCATTTACATCGCTATTGTGGGTCTCGAAACAACTTAATCACATCTTTAAGAAGCATCTGCCAAAACTTTGCATGTGAAATATTGGGTGGGGTGAAGGATGATACACTTCCTAAAAAAACTCACCCCAGCCCGTCAGGTAAAGCGTGACCAGAGATCGTGGAGGGGAAAATGCATCACTCATCAATCGATGAAGGTAGAATCCCTCACAGAACATCCACGTAAAGCTTGTGCACTTGAAGTAGATCATAAAAAAAGAGAGCAGCTTGCAGCCCACCTGTGGAAATAATACAGAAAACCGTGCAGTTATGACGAGTAAAATAAAATACTATAGTACATGTTCAGAACTGATTTAGAAGGAGTTTGTCACTACTTCAGTGTAGCCCTTTATCAGTATTGTCATAATTTATAATGTCTTCCTGAACATTATAGCATCATACATGTATATGTTTTCAAATCTAATTTAATGGGCATGTTGGTTTGTCTGCTTTACTACAAATGTGTACTACAATATGTGTATTTACCATGTATATTTTTTTTCTATAAAATCGGTGATTTGTATCAACATCATGAACGAGTCTGTCTTGTGTTTGAACGACAGAAACGAATTCAGCAAAAAATGTCAAGACTTTAAGTAGCAAATACTTTAAGATTTCATGAGCATTAACATCAACCTTCATATCACACAAGGGAATACAATCTTGTACGATGAGATAATGATCTTCATCAATCCGATTCTTTCAGCGATGTGTTGTAAAGTTGTCCGTCTGCAGCCAACTTCTATCGGAGAAATCAGGATACCGAATGTTCTGCGACATGTAAACGGCGATAGATTTGGGACGGAATAATGTACATGTAGCTATCGAAAGGGTAAGATAACGATCGGAAAATCGAAATTGTCATGCTTTCGATTGGTTTTAAAAAGTAAGTAGCAGATGTGATGACAAGTTACCAACAAATCTCTTCTCCTTGTATTCATGAATGGAAGCGAGTGAAGTCTAATATTACACGCAACATCGTCACGCATAGCGTGAAAACTATATGACTTGGGGGAATTAACATAGTGAAATCTTGCAAAAGTGCAAAGCAACTGTTTCAACAACTGATTCTAAATTCAATACATCCCACTGATTGCCTTTGCGATAATACAGTGGTAGAAATTCTCAGTAAATCCGTGCAGTTTAACCTATCGATTCAGTAAGCGATCACGCTATTTCCTTTAGTGTTATACAATGATACCCAGATAGCTGTACTAATATAATATATTTTGAATATCAAGCCACGACGATAACACAACTAGCCTTACAGAGGCGAATTAAGTGGGGACCAGGGGAACAGGCAGCCCCTCGATTCATCGCTAAATCATTTAACTTTTTTTGAACACAGTGAACCTCGAGGGCATATAATGAAAATTGACAATGTCGTCTCAGAATGCAGACTTCTTCTTTCTTAAATCCTTAAATTTCTTAAATTTCGCCACTAAGCAACTTTGAGTATCACGGTAGTTGGAACATCATTAACACGCCGTTTATGAAACTTTGATTGGGCACACTTTGCACAAGGATGAATGAAGGACGCCAATATTTATTAAATTAATGACGTTTGACAATTCACCGCTCTCATCCAACCTCAGTTATATTGAACTTAAATACTACCGGTATGCATTCATGGACAAAATCTTGTTTAATTTAAAAACAAATATCGTTCTTTTTCGAGATACCCCATTCGAAATATATATGATCTTAAATGCAAGATAACGATTTGTTACACAAATAAAACACAGGACATCCGAACCCTTATTATGTACTTATCAGTTTTCCCCATATCGAATTTATTATTACAAGAGGCCAGTTGGCCTTGTATTTGCCATCTGTCTTTTTTGGAAATGGTTCTCTTATTTTATGCTGAACTCTTCTCGGTATTTACCTTCCGTATTTTGACTACGTGTCATCGCACAAATTCACTAATTTTTGGTCTCGAAAGAAAAGTGTTTCCAGGTCAGTGAGAGAACTCCAGTAATGTAACTTTTTCAATAAAAGAAATTATCATCATCATTGCCTTTTCAGAATTCACAGTGCATGTACATTTATCAGGTTCATTTGGTCCTTTCTAAGCCTAATTTATAGATTGTAATTTGTTTAGTCTTGCTCCTTACGTTAAAGTGGGAACATAACAACTGAACTGACGCACAATTACTTATCTCTAGCAATGGCAACAGATCGAACACAACCTTAAATTCATGTACATTAAGACATATCTAATCAGACAAAACATACAGTTCACATCAGACAGAACGCCAGAGTATACAAATCGTATTTGTTATTATCATACCATAAGTAATTTCACCAACGCTTTGGATTACACATGTAACTACAATACTCAGGGGTCGGACTGGATAGTTTTGACTGTAATATATCACTAGCATATATCACATCACTCACCCCATTCTGTACAAGTATGGTGTTGAATGCGTCCTCATGCGAAACGCGGTCATAGGTCACCAACATATCCCATAATATGGTCATCACTTCCTTTAGTAAGAGTGCCAGGAAAAAGTTGATATGGAGTCGTATCCTGTGCTGCTTGCGCAATGCCCTGTTCGTGATAATCATAGAAGTGATAAATATATGGGTATAACGTGCAACTGCATACCTTTATATACCCTTGACAGGTTTCTAGGACCAACACACAGTCTTTGATGCTCGACTTCATCACATTCTATACCAACATTACCATTATATAAATAACTTAAACGTCACTGATCAGGCACTTATTTATGTTAAAACTGAGTAGCAATCAATTGTATGTGGACTGTTTTAAATGATTCTAGTCAATATTCTGTCAAGTCGATATAAACCATGACACATGAATTTAACACTGAATTATACTGAATCTCCTGCAAAATATCTTTGAAGCCTTGTAAAGTCTTGGATATAGATTCTCCAAAACTTTCCTCTCAGAGTCTTTCACTCTTATACAACGTTAAGTTCATATTTGATTTTATCTGTGAATACAATTGTCTCTAATGAGTCTATCCACAGTACATTGTACATTTTAACAAGAGTATGCAATAACCGTTACCTCACTATCAAACTCTGACAAACGAGCCATGTTTCATTCCCTCCGTTTCTTGGAAGTAATTTCCGTCTACTGACTGATATTTTGTACATGTATATCACACCTCAATTGCTGCTGCTGTACCTGTCCTTAGTATCATAATGTTCTGGGTGAACGCTTCTTGCAAACAAATTGGCTTCTAAACCTTGATTGCCCATGTTGAAAAGATTTTATGGTCATTTTCACTTTGACATTTCAGCAACTACATGTACCATACCCTCTTGTCTGCTGTTTCTTGATAAGTGTTGGTGACGTACACTGTATTCTGGCATTGATGGGGGAATGGGTTATAGTCATGACAATAATGGTAATCCGGCATCAGTTTCAGTTTGTTTAACGTGACGATACTTACTTGTATCTGACAAATATGTATATAGCCGGAACCAAGACGATGACACTGAAGATACTGCAGCCCATACCGAGGTACAGCGAGGTTTTCAGATCCTGTGGAAGAGATAAGAGGTGGAAGAGATAAGAGGTAACGTGTTACTCAACAGTTTAAATGTTCGCCAGTAGGATGTTACAGGGACACAGAAACGTCATTGAACCGTAATTGTTTAGTTTAATTGTCGATCCTCAGGTATTAAGTATAAACGTTTACTTAACACATTTTGTCTGAAGACAATTATTGGAAAAGGTTCACGTTGTGACCCTTTAAACATAACGCGGTGTGACGTTCTCGCCGTGGCAATAGTTATGTATATAAATTGTCTTTTTATCTTAAATCTTTAATTTTTGTAAGTAAATACTCGCGAAGAGATCTTTTTCGCGCTTGTTTGCACACCGCAAATATTTCCATTATAATAGTCATTCAATCAATCAATAGTTTATTTTAATGTCACACACCATTTACATAATAACATATCACAGTTTAGATAATGACATTCAAAAACAATAGAGTACGATAAAATATGATGCCCTACCGAACTCGGCTTATAAGACACTATACAAGTAATTGTTACATGATGTACATCATACATCAATATTTTATAAATACAACAATTATACTTCACAATAAACTAAATGAGATACAGTTCGATAACTCCTTATAATCTATAATACTCTATGTTTAATAAAATGATTATATGATATATCGCACTTGTCTCAAATTATCATTGCACATCTTTATCAGTTTAGAGTGGATGACTGTGATTAACCTTAAGATACGCATTATTTCACAATAGCTAAAATGAAATCAAAAATGATAGTTCATAATTAGTGATAAAACTCTATGTACAATCATCATAAGACGTAAAATATTTCACTTGTCATAAAAATATAATTACATATCTTTATCAATTAAAAGTTAGCGCGTGTGTTTTACTTTCAGATAAACAGTTTTGGTTACTAAAAATTGCAAATCTTTACATTACACTAACTAAGTGAAAAAAGGGAATTATGAGAGTTTAAATTCATAAAATCACCTTTCAAATTTGAGGCCATATTGTATAGTTCATTATTTAAATCACAGTAAATTGGACAGTCACATGAAATATGTATCTCGTCCTCAATTTCATTTTTACAAAAAGGACACAGTATTTCATTCGCGGGAACGTTATTGTATCTTCCAGTCCCTATCATAATAGGAAGACACCTGGTCAATGCACCGCGGAAGTAGCGCGGAATGATATGTATGACGTAATTATCTGGACGTTTGTCTTTCTTAAATAGTAGTTTATTTCCTTTGATAGCGTTCTCCTTCCGTAGTTTCGTCCAATATTTCAAAAACGCACTTTATGCGACGCATTTTTACGTTTCTCGAACACGTTAGGGCTTAAGTTTCTTGGCCAAATTTCTTACTCCTTCCAAAACGTTACCCCGCCTGTCTGACCACGTATGCGTTTTAAATAAAAGTCTGTCGACATTAGTATCTTGTAGCCGAATATAGAAACGAAATGTTTCCAAACGTTGTTTTGTGTGACAAGACGACAGCCAACCCATAACACTAAGTACGCCGACATTGGAAGAGTAGTTCCCGACCCCAAGGGAAAGCATCATATCACGATTGCTGAAGAGCCGTTGTTCTGCAAGTCCCCATATCGAGGCTCCAAAAAAGAGGTTTCCATGCCTTGCACCATGAGCCCACGATATCTATAAGGATTCGTAAATCGAATTCTGGCGTTGCTAGTACAATATATTCGGCGTGGAATATCAACGATAAGTTTGTCCCGCCGATATCAATGCCTTTTAGCTCGCGTAATTCACAGTTATCATGGTAAATGCCAAAAAAGGGTCGTTGTATTAACAGTTAATGTCTTATTTGATCGTTGAACATCCTTGACGACAACCGATGCCGAAACTCTATCAAGACAGTCTGTTCTTTCTGCCATGAACATCTGGTTAAAAAATTAACTGTGAGAGGACAAGGGTGGTTCAGATAATCATGGATAGATTGGGGATGGAATAAAGCCGCGAGCTAAACGAAGCGGAAATTAAAATTAAGTGCCTAAACCAGTAACGATTGTTCTTTACTAATGCTTGGTTGCTAGATGGCTGACACTGGCAGTTTAGCCGTCAAGCTGTTCCCGACTCATGCCAGGAGATAAATGGATACAGTGATACCGGGATGTACCTCCTTCCTGGCAGTGACAGTAGGACGTTACATGCCAGCTACATTGAAGCTACTGGTCGTGACAAAACGACATTGGATCGCAATGATGATCAGTATTAGAATTTGACAAAAGTGTTACAATTGTCTTGAGACTAAAGACAATTTCTATTACGTTATTTATTATGCATGCAAAGCACTTTCTTTAAATCTGACCCACAATGGTCATTCTAAAGGAAACTCAAATTATTCAAATACACCATATCAAATTATCAGACCTTTATTAAGTATGTACACTAAACATGGTAAGGCTGTTGGCACAGTTACCAGCTACAATAGTGCATTATAGACGGTCACGCTGACCCAGTTACACGAATACAATGTACGAATTCCTGCCTTTTGACACGGTTACCTATTTACGTGAGACAAATACGAATTATTTGGCTAAAACGGTTTTTTGTTACATAAATGCTCTTGCTGAGAAAGGTATCCAGTTACACGTACACGTCCTGTATACATTGCGTAGATGATATGAATAAATTGAAATTTTCAATCTTGAAGGGTGAAATAAAAATTTCAACCGAAGATAAAATATTTTAAATGTAAGCCAGACATTGCCGACCTTAACACATTTTGATTATATTTTTACCAGTTTTTTCTTTTTTTCTTTTTCTTTTAATAGTGGGGGAGGATTTTCTTCTCTCCCTTCAAATATGGGTTATCTTTCTGGATCTGATACTGTTGTCGTGACGTCAATGCATATAAAATGGTGACGTTATGCATTCATTACATGGAAATTCTCTTATCTTTACTCCAGATTGATAAATATTTTCCTGACCGGAAGTTGATGTATGTATATCTTTGTCTAATGGAGAGAAAACCAGGATCATGACACTGTAACGTAATTACATGATTGCACTGGATATCGCCTGACTGACACGGAAAATAAGCTACATATGCCATATGTACATTAGAAATGGCTAAAATTAAAATCTGGATACACGTATACCTGCACATGATCAGTCCGATACAGGCATTAGTCATACCTATACAACATACATATAACTAGACACCTGACACAGTAACACAATTCCACTGCTTTTCATTATTTCAATTTTGACCATTCGCCCTCGCGCAGCTGCCAAACCTATCATTACTATTTACGATTTGGCTAACAAAGGTCTTCGTATCATGGACACAATTCCTAATGAATGATGACGAGTTGACAATGCCCTGTGATTCTCATTTGTCTGTATAACTTATCACAGTCTGTTAAGCAGGAAGTTGTTTTATCCTGACTGATTGTCCATTCCTACCTGATTGCTGATTGAACCCTGCGTCCATTATGTCGTTAAATATAGCCTGGGATATGTCCCTAAAGAGTACATATCATCGGAGTGATGAGGACTTATATGTAAGTTAGATAGTCAGAGCTGTCTCCGCATTAAGGCGACTGTACAGACATGTGCCGCGTTTGTGACATTGAACGTTCTTTCCGATAGCGATATTCATATATTGATTATTGTAAAGGCTTTTGTGGGAATAAGTTTACATAACTTGACATACCTAGAATTAATAAGCAAATATAGTATTATGTCGCAATCATTTACTACAGCACATTGGAATACTTTTACCTACCCAAGGAACAAAATTGGCCAAATTTGATTAGTTCCATAAAGTTATATTTTGGAAAAAATGAGTTCATCGAATTGGCTCTTCCTTGTATGAGTTGTCTTTTAGTACAGGCACGGACCTAGAGCAATGCTGACTAAAACGTTTTCTCACAATGCTAGCATCGCTCGGTAACATCATTTCCATCATCCAAGATGGCAGTGCAAATTAAGAAGCTTCCTGTTACATCGCATACCTAATAGGATGTGATGAATGAATGAATTAACAGTACACTGCTATTCTATGATAAAAAATATAGTATTATTGAAATAAAGATATCTTGTATTCCGAAACAGAGAGAGTGTAGTTTGTTCTAACGTTCTCGTCGTCTGCTGTCTTAGCAAGGCTAATACTATCTCAATCAATTTAAATCAAATAACTAAAGATGTCCCAAACTTTGCCTTGAAATCCTCCTTGAAGCGAATTTCTTTGGATTAACCATTTTTGTATTTGATACTAGCGCTAACCCCTCAAACATTATTTGTTTGCACACTATATAAGAAACAAATCAAGAAAACCAAAATACACTTTCTATTACACTGTCTCTGGACATCGATGCAAGCGATGAGTGACACCGGAATGGACAGGAGACATTAAATAATTCAATAGACAGGGGGCAGAGGATCATGGGGCTGTCAGGCCATAGTGATTGGTCAGACAAAAACGTTCTCTTTTCTGTTGGGTAGCTAAACAACTATCCGAGAGGTCGAACATAACATAGGTAATAACATACACAAAAAACGAACCTTAGTATTCAACCTAACAACTTTCACGGGGAATGAGTTTTGTGCACGTTAATGTTTTGTCCCAGTACACGTGCCCAGTTTTGCAAGCAAATTTGACAATATTTACCAATTTGTTACTGTTGTGTAAATCTGTACATCCAAAACATCGGAACACTTTTCATGCCTTATTGAGTCGTTTTCAGCAGTCTGAGAACGGCCGTTGGCAAGGATGTCCGTCTGTGACATCATTAACTTAGGTCAACTACATCCGGGTGTTTCACTTGCGGAACCGATTTCAAACTGTAGCTTTGGCGGCGCGAAGCATTTCTACATTACATAGAATCAGGCGAAGAACTGTGAGAAACCACTTGCGTGAACGGCACTTTCGTTCATAACTTCCGTATATCCGCACTCTCATGCAACGAAGACATCGTGTTGCATGTCCTGCTTTGTGCAGGACGCTTCTCCACTTTGCTAGACAAAATTGGGCGCCTGTCTAG